TTGGTTTGGAGGCCTGATACTTCACCAAAATTATTTAAAATGTTGGCCAGGGTGGTGACATCTTCCTTAACCGGGTTGACAAAGATCACCGTGTCATCAGCGTACATTGAAGTACGAATGGTGGCTGTCCTACCGCGTAACCTTGTTAACATTTGAAGTTTAGTAGCTAGCTCAATTAGCTTATGAAGAGGGTCGATGGCAAGCACAAAGAGCAAGGGAGAGAGCGGATCTCCTTGCCGTAGACCTCTACCATGTTTAATTGGTGCGTTTGGTACTCCATTGAGTAGAACCCGTGACGTGGAAGTTGAGACCAAAGCAGCAATCCAATCTCGCCACCTAGAAGGAAAACCAAGTTTCTGCATGAGGTTGAGTAGATACTCCCAGCGCACCGAGTCAAAGGCTTTTGTGATGTCTAATTTAAAAAAAAGGGCTGGAGTGTTGTTTCTATGGAAACGCCTTGTTGCATTGCGGACGACCATGAAGTTGTCATGGACGCTTCTTCTCTTAACAAAGGCACTTTGGTTCAGAGAGACCAGCTTGTTCATATGTGGTGCAAGTCACAACGCTAGTACTTTAGTGATTATTTTGGCAAAGGAATGAATGAGACTGATAGGCCGAAAATCACTAATGGAGTCTGCACCATCTTTCTTGGGCAGCAGGACGGTGTTTGCAGAGTTCAATAGGGGCAGGTTGGTAGTTCTTAGCAAATGGAAGGCATTTGCAGCATTTAGAACATCTGCTTTGACTATGTCCCAGCATTGCTTAAAAAAGGCACCGGTGAACCCATCAGGCCCTGGCGCCTTATCTGAGATCATTTGTTGTATGGCGCCTTTGAGTTCTTCATCTGTGAAAGGCACATCCAGGTCACTCAGATCATGTGTTTGTAACTGGAGGCTTTCCTAGTTAATGTCGCTTTGTCGTTGTGGAGGTCGACCCATTACTTCTGTGAAGTGATCCTGGACGACCAGCGCCTTCTCATCATGCACAATCACCCAGCCATGCCCTTTGCGAAGTCTTTGAATGTGATTTTTTTCTTCTCCGTGCATTTACCCTACGATGAAAATATTTTGGCCCCGTTCGGCTTACCTTAAAAGCCGGCTTATTCGGCTTCTTTTTTTAGCCGGAACAGTGTTTTTCTCTCACAACATTTCAGCTTTGGCGCATTTACCAGCTTGTGTTTGCATCTCCCAGCTTGATATTAGTGATCCGTGAGGCTTGCTTACTTCAGGCCCTTTCGATTACTGCTAGCCCCAAGATTCTTTTCTTGAGTTTGGCTCTGAGGCAGCGATAACTCTATTTTCCTGTGCTATGTCCATTTGTGTCGTACGTGTCTTACGTTACTGTGCCTGTCTGCTATCTATTGCACGTTCGTCATGCGCTCGATCGGGTCTGTTGTGCAACTTTTTTTTAAGTGTGTTTTTGCAAATAAGTATTAAACTCCATCCATTTCAAATATAAGGCGTTTTGTCTTTTCTAAATATATATTGTTTGTGTTCTGTATCTAGACACACACTATATCCAAGTGCATAACAAAAAAAATATGTATCTAGAAAAGCTAAAAATGTTTTATAATTTAGAATGGAGGGGTACTTTTTATCGGAAATATAAGTCCATCTATGTTGCTAATCGCTATCCACTTATGCTTAATTGGTTTGTGCTTTACCATGGAATCTTGCCTCAATTGTTACTACCAACACGCAGGCTGTCCGAATCCAAATTGTTCGACATCCTCCTTTATTTGAAATGTCGAGATCAGTGGTTCCTATATGTCGAGGATACATTTATTGTGTTTGACTTGTAACCGAGACTCACCACACGCACACGTCGTGCACAGAGTAGGGTCGGTTGCTGAAGTTAGCAACTCCTATTGTTGTACTACTATATAAACATTCAACAGAGATCAATACGTGTGGTTGGCTCCCACTTCTTCTCTACACTATATATCAAGATGTATTGCTGCCTGCTTCTTATCGGCCTTCTCTCTTGGATAGTACTATCCACTTGGTATATGGTGAAAGTCTCTACAAACACAAAAGAGCCCCATGATGGCTTCTATGAAAACAATATCGTCCCTCTTCAATGCAATCCACCCGGATATAAAAGGAAAGTATATCACGTTTTATTCGAATGTTTGCAATATTCACCTTTTTTTTGCATGTATACAATGTTGGTCAAAATAATTATACATGCATGAATATGTTGCAAGCACGTGGTTAGAAAAGAGAAGTTCAATGACTAACAATTTATTAAGATTATTCAATTGATCACAAAACTTAGGTCTCTTTGTTATTCCCCCTCTCTCAATATATCATATACAAAGGTTTGTATACCTAACACAAATAAATCATTTTGTTTATCCAATAATCCTAATAATGGCACTCTAATGATTTTTTCTATATAGCGAAGAAGTTTATATATCGATAAACTAGCTAGGCCCCGAGAACACAATGCTCTAACCAAAGCCAAGAATTGGATCTTGATCGATTAGTCCATGGACTTTTTCAAGATCGACTATATATATTGAGATACTAGCATATATACTCCAACATTCCAACAAGTAGGTCTACTTGCATGATGGAAGAAAATACAAATATCGACCTGGTTGTCAAATACTTTATCGCCATTCCTGGTATTATTCTGTTGTTTTATTTTTGGTTGCATGCAGTAGGTAGCCATTCCTTACAAGTTGAAAGATAGATACACAGGCTAAAGAAAATGCAACCCAATGTCAATGAGCAAGTTAGGGATCTTGTCATCTTGATGATGATTACATGATGTCACAAGCATGCCACGCGGATCATATGGCCAGAAAGTGATTATAGTGCGTACTCTCTCCGTCATATAGAAATAAAATACGTTGTTTATGAAAGGATTTGGTCAAATCTTAAATTTTACAAACATCAATATTTTTTTGAAATCATGTAAGATACTCCCTCCATTCTAAATTATAAGTCGGTCGGGCTTTTCTAGATACATAACTTTGAGTATGTATTTAGATGTAAATGTATATCTAGGTACATAGCAAAAGCTATATATGTACCTAGAAAAGTCGGAACAACTTATAATTTGAAAGGAATGCAGTATATGTGTATATTTGTGTTGGAGAACACTTGACATCACATATTTTGAGGATGTTAAGAACATGTTCTAGAAGATATCTGTCGACAGGTGAAAGTTGTCACACTAACTAATGCTAGCTTAATTAGTGTTTGGTAGAGGGATTTGAAGTCTATGAGCTCTTTCTACCAGAACTAAGCATGCGAGGATTTAACTAGTCCAGACCCCCACTCAAGGTTAAGCCATGCCTCATGGATGAGCCTGGATTTTGGGTGTATTCTTGTTCTAGGTGGGAAAGAGTCTTGTGGAGGCCCCTCTTAGGGGAACTGGAGAGAGAGGGAGAGCGCTCATCGTTACAAGTCATTGTGGCTAGCCTTTTATAGCCAAGGCCGAACTCACACCTAGGTATGCATGCATGTAAGAAACATGGACCATAACAAGGGTCTAGTGATTTTGGTGGTTGAGTGACAACATAACCAATAGGACTAACAATATATGTTTCTTAGTATACCATGGTTTAGTCTCAATGATGGACTTAGGCTAGGCTAAGGTGGATGCCAAGGAATCAACATCTCAAATGAAGCTCAAGTGGAAGCTTTGAAGACCCTAAAACACAAACAAGAAACTCAAGACATCAAAGTTGAAGCTCAAACAAAAAAAGATGCAAATAAATGGATGTCAGAGAGCGTTGAAGCTTTCTGGTGGGACACCGAAATTATCGGCAGGGCTAGTCCAAAGACAGTTTAGAAGTCCAAGACAATTTAGAAGGTAGATGCACGTACGACATACTTCCAGCGTGTATAGGAGAGGTAGCATGAGGACCAATAATAATTAAAAAAAAATACACCTACAATGCTAACAACCAAAGCGTACGCATACTTCAACTCTTCAAGGTCCTCGGTAAGAACTGACTAGCAAGGACCAATGTAAAAAGTCAATGACAACGGGTTCTCCCAAATACACAAAATCCAAGGATCTCAAACAAAAATTAGCTAGGACAAACATAAGGCGCCTTCCGTCCGTGAGCAAGGACCAAATCTTTAATTTCTTAGAACTACAGGTCCTTCCGTGAGCAAGGACCAAAGTTTAATTTCTTAGAATTAGCTAGAATAGAGAACGCGTTCAGCTTCAGGTGTTCTGCACTGCCGCTGAGTTTTCGTGGGCCACCGAGACGTGGAGAAGTATATGGGCCTTCAAAGTTCGGGCCGACATCCATTTTTTTCCAATAAAAAACCCAGACTGCGGGCTGCAATGCATCGGTTAGGCAGGCTCTCCAGCTGCTGCTTCTTCTTCTTCTCTGAACATGGATGGGCTCGGTTAGGCATGGAATTAGTTTCCAAGCCTTAAAAGAAAAGAAGCTGAACATGGGGGGTACTTGCCACTGCATGCCGGCTGGGATATGACGAGCCTGCTGGTTCATACTGCACTTGCACTGCGTCATGGAGATTTTTGCTCCTGGGATGCTACAAGTACAAAGTAGAATATGCCGGTGCCGCGGCTCTGGTGCTATGTCCGTGCCACAAAATATCTATCTGAACGTGTGGTCACCAGCGACATGTGATGCGCGCGTTCGATGATCCTTGACAGAAAGAAAAGGGAAAAAAAACCCGAAGGAAATTCCATGCTGGATGCTGACCGATCGATTTTAGTTTGCATGAAAAAAGAAAGAAAGATGTATCTGTACAGAGCCTTCGTGATTGATGATAATGAAATTCTCATGGTGCCGTGCCGTGTATTGTACATGGTATATACGACGAACCCTTGTTCTGTTCCTATCCTATTTTAGCTAAATAATTCCATTTTTATCTTTATCTATCTAGACTAGATAGACTGACTGGAGTCTGAGAAAGAGACGGGCGTTCTGCTTGCTGCTGCGTCCACCTATCATCTCGTTCTATCCGTCCGCGGGCGCAAGGACACGGGAGGTGAAAAAACTCACTGAAATGGGCTGCGCTTCACTGCCCACGCGGCCTTCTCCGACGCCGTTGCCCGCCGCCGGCCGCGCGCGCTCTTCTCGCTCTCACCTTCGCACCTGCACCACCACCACCACCACAGGTGCCTCGCTTGCTATCTCTTAGTCTTAATTAGCTTCCTCCCTCGTTTAGTCGTTTTGTTCTATATATACTGCTCCCGTTCCATTCCAATCACTGTTACCAATTACCATAGGAATTAAATACTCACTGGAATATGATGAAACCTGGGCAATCATATTATTGGTAAAAGAAACACGGGATCGGGATCTTTGCCTTTCAGGAGCTGCGTGCTGAATCTCTTCAGAACCCTTTTCGGATTGCTCTTTAATTAATCCTACTGATGCACCATTTTCTTTTTCCTGCATGGATTTATTATTACTCCGAGACCAGTGCCTTCTCATAATATTGTACTCCAAACGAGTGTTATCACTTCAACATGTTCAGAACAGAACAGGTTCTTTTGTGTTGTTGACGCTGACAGTTAATTAATTCCCATTCTTGCTGCTGCAGGCAAACCGAGGAGGGCTTTTTCCATCAGAGCAGCTCACAGTGGGCTCAGCGATGTATCTGTAGAGAGCCTTCCCCTTCCTGATAATGAAGCTCCAGTCACCGGTGCTGCTTACAGCTTCACAGGAGCAACGACATCACTCACCAACAGGATCCTAACATCCTCCAAGAAGGTTACTCTTGTCAGGCATGGCCTGAGCTCATGGAATGCAGAAAGCCGTGTCCAGGTTGGTTTGCTGCTACTCAATCATTCAGAAATCACAAGGTCTGTTTACTGTGTCGGATTGTAAAATGCAATTTGCGTGTTTCGTTTTTTTTTATAAAAAAAAGTTGCAGGAGCTCTGCCTTGCATTGAATTAAGGAAAATAGAAGGTTTTTGCCTCAATGGCAGACATGGCTCAACAAGCTACAGGACAACCACAAGAGAGAGACAACCAGCAAAGAAACGAAAACAAGACGAAAGCCCCCAAAACTAGTTTTGAAAAGGACGTTGTCGTTTATCAAAGTCCTCTCTCTTTTGGACGTAGCGCAACCGATAGAGCCGTGGAGCAATCATTTTGGAAAATCCGCCGATTCCTTTCTTTCCACAAATTCCACATGACCTAGATGCATACTCCGTTGAAGTGTCGTCCACAATTTGCGTTTAGTTAGTTACACGCTGGAAAGTATGTTCAACCAATCATTTTACCAATTCATTCATGAATCATCATACTTTTTTTTATCTATTCTATTCTAGTGTGACTGGGTTATAAAATATGTTCAACCTTTTTGAGTTCATTGCTGAAATCGTTGCTTTTCTCTAGGGAAGCTCAAATCTGTCTGTGTTAACAGAAACCGGCACCAAGCAGGCAGAGAAATGCCGCGATGCTCTTGCAAACATCAAGTTCGACGTTTGCTTCTCTAGTCCTATTTCACGAGCAAAGGTTGGCCAATTACATTAATTAATTCCAAGTCTACTACATATCTGAATGTGAGCTACTAATATGCATGCATGCATGCATGATGCCTATATTATGTGTAATGGTATAAGGAAGTGACATTTCTACGCAGACAACCGCTGAAATTATCTGGAAAGATAAGGTGGAACCCCTTGTGTTTCTCGATTCATTGAAAGAGGCACATCTCTTCTTCTTAGAGGGCATGACCAATGGTAATGAAATAAGAGAATCTTCTGGGAGTAGCTCGTTTTATATATATCTTGTTGTCCATTTCGGTTTCGTAAAACTGACCATATTACATGCTTGGAGGCAGCGGATGCTAAAAAGCAATATCCGGAGTTGTACACAACATGGAGGGAGGACCCTGCACATTTTCATGTCAATGGCATATACCCGCTCAGGGAGGTGTGGAGAACAGCAAGACAAGCATGGGAGCAAATCTTGCTCACTCCGGTATAATACATCAACCTTGCCCTACTTCTTCTCTTCAGGTTCAGGGTGTGTCATTGTTTGTCCTTGATTGAACTCCGGTTTCGACCCTTTTTTTTTCTCTCTTTTTGGGGGACAACAGGGAGAAAACTTCTTGGTGGTTACACACAAATCCATTTTGCGCGCGCTCATCTGCACTGCACTAGGTCTCCCTCCTGAGAGGCAAGTTGTCTGAACTTTTCTGTGGCACCAATTCTGAACTTTATTTTTCCCACGTTCATGATTGGGAAATTTTGATGAAACTGTTTGTCAGAGTTATGTCACCAAGATCTATGCATCGCTGTTCGCAAAAAAACTTGTTTTCCCCCCCTTTCCTCAAATACTCCAGCTAGTGAACAATGCAGTTATGCAGGTTTCGTGCCATTGATGTAAACAACGGTGGCATGTGTGTCTTCACGGTCAACAAGCAAGGAGAAGCTATGCTTCAAGCCCTCAACATGACAGCGCACTTGTATAGTGATCACACCTATCAGTACTAGTTTTGCTTTTGCCCCTCTCTTTGCATTACATTACCTTCCTTGTATATTATTACACTTTCATTAGAGGACAAGCCATTATTGAAATGGCTTTGGTAAATACTTTTTTGAAAGAAAATACTAATGTGACCGTAGTGTGCATAACGATAGGTTACAGTTACACAAATTGCTCGTGTCAGATGTGATTGTCCACGTACATGAATGTAAACTGAATCATGCGAAAGTCATTTGATCTTTGAGGAACTGTTCATCTCCATCTATAATGTGCTTGCTCACATACTCCCTGGAGAGGTATTTCTGCTTCTGAGAGGGATGTCCCCAAGAAGGTACAGTTCAGTTCAGATGCTATAAGCCTAAGCAGCTGGTATATGCATGCCTGGCCTTCTGAAGGACTGATACAACTTGTTTGGGACTGAAGAATTTTGCAGGACTTTCACTGAAACTTACGGAAAACATAACAATTCCTGACTGACTTCAATTTTCAACGAAGTGACTATCGTTGATGATGCTTTATTCATCGATTAGTCCAGAAGGAGATTCTGGTGTGCATGTATCCTTCCCGTTGACTAACAGCATGTTTTTTATGAGGAGAAAAATGCAGTTGTAGCTAGAATGAGATAAAGAGATCTGATGTTACAATCCAATCTACCATATCAGAAAGAAAAATGCAGTTGTGCTCATGGTCATGTCAGCAGAGCGCTTGCGAGTGTGTAAATGGAATACATGAGAAGGGAGAAGCAGAGGACAACTGCACTGCGACAAAGCCGGAGATGAGAGCCCCCTGACATGGTCGCAGAACGTCTGTAGCTCAGGGGCTGCTGTAGCTGCCCATCGTTCTTCCTCAGGTCCGATATGGCGCCCGCGGCAGCGATGCATGGCACTAGTGACAGTGAGCAGCATGCCCACCATCTGTGGAAAATTCACCAAAACGAAATAGCACACGGAGCACGATTCCAGAGGATGAATACATAGCTAGCTTTTGCAGTGTTTGTCACCACGTCGGCCATGAGGACGGAGGGGGCTCGCTGGCGGCATGCACGATGAGAACGAGCAGAGCTGTAGGCGCAGGCGACGACGTTTGCCACCACGAAGAAGAAGAACCTGTGATGTGACACCGGTCGGCCAGGTGAGGTGGCGACAGGGCAGCGATCAGTGCTCGGAAACGGCTAACGGATGCTAGCTGAGTAGTAGTAAGCTCCAATGGAGTTGGAATGTTGCAGGACCGGATCGATGATCCGATGCCAAGATAGGAGGTTGATGATATCATGTGCACATGAGTGAGCAACACAGATAAACCACGACCAGCCAGCTGGGAATTTTCTTTCTAAGGGAATGAATTTGATCACTTGAATTTTTTGATCTTGTCCATTGCTTAATTAATTTTGTTGTATTATTACTTGATAACCGGTGTAATCTACCTATGAATCCTGAGAGCTATGGTAGAATTTAATTTTGAAGAATAGCTGTCTCTCCATCCCAAAAAATGCAATTATAGGTTTGAAACTAGTCAAACTTTCTCAAATTTGACATATTCTATAAAAAAATATCAATATTAATGTTTGCAACTAGATTTACTATAAAAATATATTTCATAATCAATCTAATGCTACTTATTTGATAAAAAATGTTAATACTTTTTTCATATAGAGGTGGTTAAAGTCCAAGTTGTATGATTCCTCGAAAGTGAGAATTACACTCTTTTTAGATGGAGGGACTACATAGGGTGTGTGTATCAGTATGCTCCGAGTAAAGTCTACCCCTAAGATACCATGTGCTTTGTGTACTTTGTATTCACATGCACATCCAATGAAATTGTGAATGGAGGACATATCCTTAAGGGTGATGATCCTTCCTCGTGGATGTAAGGATACTCATCCTTTTTCGGGTTGAAGACAAGAGGACCTTGGGACATATAGCTACCACTATCTCTCAACATCTGGCAACTCAAGCCGAATGTGAGTATTGTCGTGACAATCAGTCTCCTATATATATGCATAGCATGTGATACTAGAGCACAGTCCTTTATTAAAACTTAGTAACATAGAAAGTGATTGATATATAGAAACATCTACTCAGACGAGTGTATGTGTGTTTGGATGGTGGGATGGAGGATGGAGAGGTTAGTTCTTGCTAGTCTTTAGTTTAGGGACAGACTGAATTGAGCAGCTTCTCAAGTGGAATATTGACTTGGTTTTTCGGATAGCCTATCCCGGAAAAATAAATTGATGAGCTTGCCACGCAAGCTCAAAGGAGCTACTAGTGTGGAGGCACAAACAGAGGAGGTTAGAATCAACATGATCAAGTAGTGTCTAGAGCAGCTATAGGTGGAGACAGAGGCCGACTAAGGCGCGGTTCACATATAGGGTCATGCAAGAAAAAATTAACAATATTATAGGAACCATTCCATCCTTAACGTGAAGGATGAATTTATCCCATCGCCTACTAAACAGACGTAACTTATCACTTGTTTTGGGACTCGACGAAATTAAATAAGCAAGTCTTTTCCTTTTTTTAAACCACAACAAGCCCTTTAATTTGCCAATAAATTTACCCCGATGGCTTGTAACAGGTGAACAAAAAACTTCCATCATTGTTGTAACTTGTAACACTGTCTGTGGGCTAGTGTGTGCCTACATATAATAGATTAAATAGGATACGAGCTACTTGATCTGGAGCATGTTGTTTCCGCTTGATCAGCCGGGGAAGCGTATTCAATCTACATCGCACAAATTGTTCTTTACTTAGTACGACCTTCTTTCTCCACCGCTAGTCGGTGATTTGTGTTTCGTATGTTCTCCCACACAGGAACGGTATCTCACTGTGACTCTGTCTGTGGAGGTTCTAAACTTTCCACATCTACTTAATGAGCATGTGCTAATGCACGTTTTCAAAAAAAAAACTCTTGTCATTTTTTGGGGTGGGTGGGGGCCAACGACTTTCGGGCGTGGACGGGTTATTACAGTTAGTGCGTGAGTAACAAGAAATCTCAGTTGAGTGAGAAACAGTTGAGTCAAGAAGATCCCGATATATATAAGCTTACTGCGTTGTCAGGACCCACCAACCCTATCTCGGGGTGGGGCCCGCCTATCGTCCTCGCGCGCCACGGCATTGGTGCTTATGTTATGAAGGCCAAAGCACTGGTGGAATAAGCCTTTAGCGAAACCATATTCTGGACTCGCACTCACCTAGGAGGGCAGCATAGTAAGATTTAGGGTATAACAACACAAGGCGTGCAAGTGTTATATAAGAACCCCTTCCATAGGTCATCACTTCACCCTCTATATATATAGAAATATGTTCGGTGGGAACTAATGCCCCCCTATGCCTCCATATAATAGATTAAGGCTCTGTTTGGATGGACTAGTACTAGTTGTTAGCCATGGCTAAAAAATAGCCAGCTAAAAATTAGCCAACTAATTGTTAGTCTATACTTGTTTGGATCATGAATTAATTGTTGGGTTCTACAGACTGGAACTAATTGTTAGCCCTTGATAGTTGAGTTATATGGACTAGTGAATTAACAACTAGTTGGGGCTTTGGCTAAACTTTAGCCCATCAATTAGTCCTCCTATTTCGATCCGCGAGGGCTAAAGTTTAGCCAACTAGCTGTTAGTCCAAGGAATCCAAACAGAACCTAACAGGATACGGGCTACTCGATCTTAAGCATGTTGTTTATCGACATGCATTGTGTAATGCAGTTTGAAATCTTTTGTGTATTTGTGTGGGAAATCGCAACTGTCGGACCTTTGATCGCAGGTAACACCATTCGAAAACAATTGAGGGATATATAGGGCTGGGTTTAGCAGCCTGTTGCTCACCGCTCAAGACCCACCCGTAACCCTACATCGCACAAATTGTTCTTTAGAGGGCGCCTTCTTTCTCCACCGCTATCGGTGCTTTGTGTTACGAAGGTCAAAGCACCGGTAGGACAAGCCTTTAGCGAAACCATATTTTGAGCTCGCACTTATCCAGAAGGGCAGCACAGTAAGGTTTATGGTTATAACAGCATAGGGCGTGCAGGTGTTACATGGGAACAACTCCCATAGGTCATCATTTCACCCTCTGTATATGTGAAAATATATTCAGGGGGAGACTATCGCCCTTTGAGTTGTGGCTTGGAGGGATCAATCAAGAGGAAAACAGAGAGTTAGGCCCTATTCGGCTGGTTGTTAGCCATGGCAAAAATAGCGGTGAACTAATTGATGTCTATACTTGTTTGTTGTGAGAGAAAATTGTTGGGTATTATTTCAATTGTTAGCCCTTGATAGCTATGGACTAGTGAACTAATAAGTTCAAACTTTAGCCCATCAATTAGTCCTCCTTTTCGAGAGGCTACCAAAAGCGTCCAAGAATCAACACAAGCACCGAAAAGAGCGAGGTGCCTATTGGCATGCAGTTTGAAATCTCTTGTGTGTATTTGTGGGGAAATCAGGCTTCAGCACGAGTAACAAGAAAGAGGAAAGTGAAGGCGCCCACGAAACTCGGTGCTTATGTTATGAAGCCCAATAATAACCAGTGGACAAGCCTTGCCTGAAACCACCCCATCCAATTCTAGAATTTCTTAAGAGCTAGCAAATTTTACATGGTAACATATAGGCACCCCCTCTGGCCCAAGATATATTCAGGCACCCCACTAGCCTAGTTGTGGCTTGAGGATCAATCAAGCAACACTTTCTTCCGTTGAAAAAATCGGTGATCGCTGTGAGAGAAAATACTGTTGCACGCGTAGCGGTACGGACTAATGGTTTTCCTTTAGCTACCAAAACGCCTCGCTTGCCTCGTGTGGCGGCGGCGAGTCCGAGGAGCTGTTAGAGGGCGCCGCTAACGCCGGCCACGCCAAGTCAGTGTGCCCCCCCCCTCAATTCCAGTCCTTCTTAAGAGCTAGCAAATTTGCCCATATAGCACCCCCATAGCCTTCCACACAGCCTAACAAGCCGAGAGCTTCCGAGTTCGCTTCACCGGAAGTGCACGCCAGCGCGTAATGGCGGACTCCCTTGCCTCGCCTGCTTGCCTGCTCGTGAGCTGCGAGTCGAGTCCTCGAATGCTAAGGCGCCGCCAAAGTCTCACGCCAAGCTGTGTGCCTCATCATGTTGTCCACCCTCTCGCTCCACTCTCGCCAGAGCGAGGGTTCACCTCGTCCCCCCCATCCCCTCCCATCGGCCATCCGCCCCTCTGCCTTTGCTATTGGCCATCACGCCCTACCGGCTACCAGTGAGTTTATCCTCAATCAAATTATTTATATGTGAAATTGTGAACTGCAATTTGATTATGCAAATGAATGAATTATAGGACATGATCGATGCTAATAGAATTTCATGTCCGGATGAAATCAATTGGGATGAGGAGATTAAATATGACCCCAGTTTGGGAAAGAAATTGATGCTTAGCATCCTAACTTGAGAGAAAAGGTGAGAAGAAATGAAGAAAGTTAGCAATGAGAGTATGGTTGGTCGTTTCATGATCATGGAATAAAAAGACGTAAATATGATCTCTAAGAGTTAATGCAAATGCAATGCATCTGCTTTCAATGGATGATTGTACACTTTCTTTGCTAAATAATTGACATGTTTGTTCTCTTTTGTTTAGGCTGGATCACATATTTTGCTATATGGGACATCTTTTGTTCATTGTTTTGGCATTCTTATAATCACTACACTACAATGTCTTTATTTTGTTATAAACGATGAGTGTTATTGCCCTTGCCCTTACCAGTTTGCTTATGTTTTGACCAAAGTCACATTACTATTACTGTAAGTTGAATTTTGATGTTAAAAATTATGAATTAATTATGCTATTTGTTTGAACGTAATATAAGTCACTGTATTCGTGATCAAGTTGAGCACCTCAACCCATTTGCTCTCCACTGGCCGAAACCGAAACCAACCACACTTCCACAAGTATAGTCCAGTAGTAGTGATCTAGTGACGGACGGAGTGACGCTGATCGTGGCAACAGGGACGACCACACACAATTCCCTTCCCTCCCTCTGTCTCAACTCTCAAGGTTCTCCCTCTGACGGCAGAGGCTCCGGCGGGGAGGCGCCTCCTCCCTCCCTCCGTCTTCTACTCTTCTGTCTTCTCCAATGGCGGCGATTACCGCGCCGCCGGCCCCTCCTCCGGCCTCCACCTCATGCCGTCTCCTCCGCCGCCGGGCGCCACTCATCCGCTTCGCCGCCTCCTCCTCCTCCTCGTCGTCGTCCCCATCCTCCCGCTTCCGCCCATCCTCCTCCTCCTCCTTCCCCGGTGCAGCCGGCAGCAGCAGCAGCGGCGGCGGGGGCGAGATCCTCCACATGTCGCCGCCACCCCCGCCCGCCGCGCCCCCGGGGGCCCCCGTCTACGTCACGCTCCCCGCCGACACCGTCGGCCCGGGGGGGCGCGTCGCGCGCCGCCGAGCCATGGGGGCCTCGCTCGCCGCCCTGGCCGCCGCCGGCGTCGCGGGCGTCGCCGTCGAGCTCTGGTGGGGCGTCGTCGAGCGCCACCGCCCCGGGGAGTACGACTGGGCCGGCTACCTCGAGCTCGCCGCCATGGCACGACGCCACGGCCTCCGCGTGCGCGCCATCCTCGCCTTCCACCAGTGTGGCGCCGGCCCGCATGACCCGCCCTGGTGCGTCTCCCCACCCCCTTGCCCGCATCATCAGCTATTCAGCTCCTAAAAAGATCCCCTCTTTTTTCTCCCCCCACCCCTGCTCTTCTCTTCACTTCCTTTGTTAGGTTCAACTATACATACAGGATATGTATGTTCACATCTCAGTGGGGTTGACGGGCTGTGCATGTTCTAACTCACTTCTTTGGAACAAAATTGTAGATAAAAAGGCTGCATTTCTACTTCTCGGTGGTATAATGCTATAAGCAGTTGTTAATCATTAATGTCTATTGGACATGCAAGTATGGTCAAGCACATCACTTAACTTAAATTCACATCTCGTGGAGTTGAACACATCTGCTGACTGCTGCCAAACTTGAAGATTGATGCCCAATTCAATTCATAACTATTCTTCTGGGTTGTGTAACTAGTATTTATGTGGTGATATGGTTTCTGTTCAGAATTGACTGAATTTATTGATACTTGTGGTTATATCCTTTGCTACACGTGGCATGCACTTTTGTCCCGCTATGTGGCACAAAACGTTTAGTAAAAAAGTTCTTTATTAGTTGACGCTCACAATTTATCATTTATGGTTTGTTATTTTAGCTCAGGAGGTATGTAATCCCTATCAATCATTTGGATTTTATTTACTACTAGCATTGAGCACTGGTATTCTATACAGCACTAAATGGTCATGAGCATGCCTTGCTCATGGATTCCCTATCTAGACATAACAGATTCCCATGCTAAGCATGAATGCATCGTGCTGATACTATTCACGTTGCATTGGAGAGAAGTGCTTCCCTTACACACGTGTGCACCCAACAATAAGGCTACAGTTAAGGTCTGAAGTAGAGGAATCTAGTGTAGAGAGAAGGAGACTGATATCACTGCAAATTTTGCTTTTTTTGGGCTCAACTCAACTGCTCAAGTCATTAGGGGCCACTTCAATATGCTCATGTGATAGAAATGGAACCTCGTTGGTACATGGTTAGAAAGTTTATGATGCTTCGGTTTCAGATCATTGATGTAACTATCAAAAGCCTACTGATTGTTTTTTTTTGGTGACTTATATCTGAGTATTTTAATCAATGGATTGCCTCAAAACATCATTCTTTTTTTATATCGGATGTGCTGGTAACAATCCTTTCCCAAAATGGCAGCTACAATAAATCGTCTACCTAGTAATGCGAAACTACATGACATTATATCAGCTATTCATGAAATAGATCCCTAATGAGTTTGCCATTTAATAACTGCTTTCCTTTCTTGATTTTTCAAGTTGTCCTGTTACAGTCAACCTATTATTAATGCTTTTTGTTGCTGTGATGTAAAAGTTTAATCACTTGGCCTTGCGTTGATGCACACACAAGTATATCTCCTTTTAAATTCATGGTTGGAATTTCCTACCTTTCCAGGATTCCTTTGCCACAATGGGTGCTTGAGGAGATGGATAAGATTCCAGACTTGTCATATACCAATAGATACCAGAAGAGAAACAAAGAATATATATCACTGGGATGTGATATTCTTCCTGTTCTGAAAGGAAGATCACCTATGCAAGCTTACTCCGACTTCATGAGAAGCTTCCGCAATACTTTCGAAGATTTCCTTGGGGCCATAGTAACAGTTTGTATTCTCCCTGTTTTTTAAACACATACAATTAATTCTGAACCACCAAAGGACGTATCCCTATTATAACATTGTCTCTCAGGAAGTTCAAGTTGGAATGGGTCCAGGAGGTGAGCTTAGGTATCCATCATACCCAACTGAGAAGCTAAATCAGCCAGGCAGTTCATCTGAACTTGGGGAATTTCAATGTTATGACAAGGTATGATGGGAAATAAAATTCTTTCTATAAATTCACTACAAAATGGAATGTTTTTGGTAGAGCGGGAGGCATATTGGATGATCAGTCTCAACATTGTTTACTCTACTTATGCAATTCGACATGCAATGTCTATTTGTATCTTCAACTTGTAAGTAGTACCAGTATGGGTTAGCTCCCTACCATTTGGGCTTATACTGAATCTTCTATATGTGAGTTTGCATTTGTAGAAATGACTTGTATGTTCTGTTCTACTTTGTTGTTTTGAGCCATGCAATAAACAAGGACAACATCTGCATTTCTGAAATGATTGAAACACATATCCTATTCGTGCATCTGATGCTACGTTACCATTACAAGATTTAACTTCTGATAGATGTGATCTGTTGACAGTTTATGCAAGCTTCATTGAGTGCTCGTGCGCAGATTTTTGGGTTACAAGAATGGGGTAATGGCGGTTCAACTGGCACAGATGGTTCACAGCAGAACCTTGAAGAAACAAGATTTTTTCACGCTGATGGAGGCTATTGGGATACACCTTATGGTCACTTTTTCCTTGAGTGGTATTCAGGAATGCTTCTCCTCCATGGAGAGAGGTTATGCATGATAGCTGATGCAATCTTCTCTGGTACTGGTGTGACCATCTCAGGGAAAGTTGCTGTCATACATTGGCACTATTATACTTGTTCACATCCATCTGAACTGACAGCTGGCTACTATAATACACTATTAAGAGATGGCTATCTTCCTATAGCTCAAATGTTTGCCAAATACAAAGCTGCATTGTGCTGCGGTTGTTTCGACCTGAGGGACGCAGAAAGAACAAATTCTGAGAGCAGTCCAGAAGGTACTCTCCAGCACCTTGCAGGTGCTGCTAAAATGTGCAACCTTCCTCTTAATGGTGAGAATTCTGTGACAAGGCTAGATGATGCATCACTGAATCAAGTCATAAGAAGCTCGAGGCTCTACTCAGGAACATCTTTTTCCTTTAACTATGTTAGGATGAACAAAACCTTGTTTGAGTTTCACAATTGGAATCGATTTACAAAGTTTGTTAGGCAGATGTCAGATGCCAGGACCTTTCTAGCAAGACTATATGTCAGGAGAGGGCAGCAATACTTGTCTTCAATGTCGGCTGTTTGGGTGGTTAGTCGGGCTTGTGCATATACATGAAAGTTGTCAAAAGCTATTGGGGAAATCATGTACTTGTAATCTCAGCCATCAATGATTCGACAACTGTGGAAAGAAATGTTTTGCTCACTATATGGCTCATTTTTAGTTGCCAGAAGGGCAGGCAGGCTTATGCTCAAGGCTGTACTGATTTCATGCATGTACATGTATTAGTTTCATGCATATGCCATTGCTGAACAAAATTTTATATGTATTTGTTGTAAAGTGGTAGTGTAGTTGCTGCCAACAATATTGAATCTTGAAAAATATGCCCCTGTTAAAGGTCCCACGAGGGTCCTGTTTAGCCATTGTAGAAATACTTAGTTGGAGCCTTCTGTTTTCCCCTTCCAATATGAATGCTTTTGAACTATATGCCTATGAAAATATGTATACTTCCTCTTGTCACAAATGTCAAATATAAGTCCATCTAAGTTTATCCTAAGTCAAACTTTTCTAACTTTGACTAACAACATTATAAAATTGATTGACAGTGAATGGAGTACGATCCATTCCTGAGCAATGCTGGATTCACAAGAGGTCTAGTACTCTCCATTTCTTTTTTATAGAACACATTAAAATTTGGAAGTTTTAGAAATATATATTTTAACCACCAATTTCTCATAGAAAACACTTTCAATTGCTATAAAATCAATGTCATGTTAAAATACATGTGAAATGTGAATTTATTATTACGATTTTTACACACTAAGCATGAATCTAATTTAATTCATTTAGCCATTTTATCAAAACTTTGAAGTTTGTCTTTTTTTAATATATTACCCCCAATAAAAAAGGAATGGAGGGAGTAAAGTGCAGCTGATATTTTATGAAGTTGTCAGTTCTATCACCGCAATAAGTTAAAATCAGCATGCATCAACTTCATGGATCACAAAGATATAAATAAAATGAATAAATGTGTTTACAGCATGGAATTATGACCTACGAAAATCTGCTACATTTCCAATACAATATAATCATCCTAACCCAATACTGTTCTGCACAAATTCTAGACGACAACAACAAATCCAGTTTATAACTTGAAATAGAATTTCCAGCACATAATATATACAAAGTTGACTACAAGTGCATTCTGCACAATTACATGTATTTTTTGGGGGAAGTACAATGATACATTTATAAAACACAATGAAGCAGCTAATGCTAACTAGCAACAAAACTACAAGTGGAACTGAACTCATGGTACAAGCACTTTCGAGTACCCATTGAGCAGAGCAAAAGGCTGACATGCATATCAACCAGAGTTTCCACAAGAACTGCCAAAGTGTGCTGCAATATCACTAACCAGTAGCCTGATGACATGGCTACCAGAAAGCCGCGAGATCTCCATGCATTCTTCCAAGTCTGCGTTGCACGCCAACTTTACCCACTCATGGTCATCATCGAGATACTTGATATCGAACGTACCAACATCCATCCTTAGCCTTTTCGCTACCTCCTCTTTCAATACAATAACACCACCTGAGCATGGGAAACGGAACCTTACAATATCTTCCTTAAAACTTGCCTTTATCGTAACAGTCCCTGAATGCTTCATTGACACCAAGTTGTTGGGAGGGGCCAAAAATGGTTGGTCCGATGTTGAAGTGAAGAGATTCTTCAAATCTTTGGAGCTACCAGAATCTTCAATCAGCATCCTGGAAAGTGGTAGTTGTGGTTCTTGAAAAGGCTCTTTGTTGAACTCTTGATTAAGTTGAGGTTCTGCGAATGTTGAAGCAATTGGCTTACAAACAAATGTTTGGTTTGCTGGACTTCCCTGGCATGAGCCTTCTGAAGTGCGTGAATTTATGCTGCCTTCTCCAGATGAACTTCTCGAGTGAGAAGCTTTGTCAGCTTCAAGCTGCGTGTCATTGTTATTGTCTATAAATCCTTGCTGGGCCATGACTACACCAACAAAGAATCTCTGTCACCATCAACAGCAAGATTCGAAAGATCTGCCACTTTACTTTGAGTTAATTTCTCTACATTGAGAGACTCCGATGAAGGGCCAACAGGTATAGGAAGAGGACCTGTGATAGATGTGAGATTAAATGCCGCATCGGAGCCTTGAACAGACTCGATTACCTGCTTTAATTTCGAGAGAGACCGGTTGACCTTATTAATTTTTTGAGATGGCCAACGAGAAATTCCATGCTGCCGGCAGATGCGCTTCATGGTTGTAGGACAAACTACGAGATACAAAAAAAATGAAACTAGCTAATGCTCACAATCTCCAAGAGTCAACCCCTTACATCGTTATCACAACTGAAAAATCCACTGTTTTGCCGCCTCTACTCCCTCTTTAGGCTCTATAAATGGCAATTGATGGAAACAGAAGTTGACAGCATGACGGGTTTATAACAAGCGGACAACAGACCCACAAGACACAAGAAGCTCCTCTGCAATACATGCGACTATGGATAGGACACTTCTAATAATAGTACTATAGCAAGCAAGATTATAGAGGCAACTGGCAGCATCCAATAAGTACAGGGATATCGAAAGAAATTCTTTCCAGGTTGTTTCTGCATACATGATTGCACGACCAATTTATCCAAATCCCAATTATCCAAGCAGTATGCCAGAATGACAGAGATCCAGTTTTAAGTCTCAAAGGCAATTAGGTCTAACCAAGTCATTGCCCTTTCAAAAGTATTTCATGCAGGTTCTACCTAACAATGATGTACAAAAAGTCAAAAACACTAAACTGCAGAGAAACACAATTTTCCCTAATCAACTCTTCCTGTTCTAAAATCCAAACACCTCTGAGCAGGCACTATCTGCTATAAAGTTCAATATTTTAAGAATAGATTCGACTTAGTCAACAATTTAACCATGGTTTCACAGCATGTCAACACCATGAACTCAAAATAAAGAGAAAATCTCAAATGCAAACCTGTCAACTATAACTAAGCCCTCTTAATTGTCGAGAAAAAGAATTAGTATAGCAGATGAGCTGCATATGGTATCATTTTGAAACTAAAAAAATGCACAGTCCAGACTACCATTTCAAAACTTAAAACAAAACTGCAATGAGCTGGATATGACCATCCAAGAGTTAGCATTAGGTCAGCAACAGTGTGACACTAAAAAGGAGTACATTGAACTTGAGTATTAGAACATACCACCAAGGCTTTTAGCTGCGTTTTTCAAGCTCCGAGAAAAATATTGCTGAAGAACCTCTAAACTAGTCTTTTCAGCTTTCCCACGTCTCCTTTCAGGGGGTTTGTTGGTTTTGTGAAGCAATGAAGAATCAGAAGCACCGCTACCATTTGGCCTGCCAGCAGAAGTACCATTGTCTTGAGAGTAGTCATCAGTCAACAATTGCCCCTCTGTCACATCCAAAACTTTCTTGTTCCCGTTATCAAACTTGTGGGCTCCTCCATGTCTATCACCATCAGGTGATTCACGAAGGGAACCATCAGAGTTATCAAACTGTGCATCTGTTTTGAATTCTTCATTCTCAAGTTTTAGCACATTACTAAGTTGAAGAGAAGCCCCACTTGAATCTCTGTCACCAACTACCTTTAGGCTACGAAGACACCGCTTCATCAGAGTTAATATAGACTCCAGTAAGGCATTTTGGTCATCTTCGTCAATACAATCGGGCGGCAAGAAAAACTCTAATATGTAGTCGTCATTCCCGGTATAAGAACTTTGCAAGCATATTGCAAAGCAGCCAGCCAACCCAAACATGCGAGCATAGTGTACAAGGGGATATGCCAACTTACAGAACTTCTGGATATCTTTTGAAAAGCAAGGTTTGTGTGAGATAAATGCCTTTCCAGAAACTCCTTGTCCCCTCTGTAGGTGATGCTCCACACATGCATCTTTAAATCCCCACATATGAGCATCAATCACATGAAACGCCACATCACTAGTTGACATGCAGACTTCCCCCATGCAACTTCCATCGAAACTTAAGCAACTCTTCTTTAAACCACCACCATGTGCCAATACACTTCTATACTTGCAAGGAACCCAGGTCTGTGACAAAGGAAGCTTGTGCTCTTCACACACTACAGTCAGGATCTCCAGTATTTCGACCAGAGCAGCTTGACGGCCTTCATTACATATCTGAAAAAACAAGACGGCGAACAAAAATATAAGCCACCTAGAGCATGGACAGAAATAATCTTCTTGTCCATAAACCATAACCATAATGTAATGAGTGAAGGCTCACCTGGACATTTGGATGGTCCAATATTTCAGTGCTTTTAAGATTTACGGCCTGCAGAAATATTGTCAAACTGTAAGATGATAGCACAACAAAATTTAGGCTACAGGTGGTTTGCTATAGCTCACATGTAAGGTTACTAACATCAATCTTAAGCAATTTGCTGCTCCACTGAATGTGCATGAAAAAATACAGCAAGCAAAAGAGGAAAAGGACCAACCTCAAGGGCTTTGCAGACTTTATCGACCTCACAGGCATAGTTTATCTTCTTTGATGTCATTATAAGTTCGACAACAGCAATACACAACTGAGAGGCAGGATCAAAAACAGGCAGGGCAACTGTACCATGGACGTTTTAACTGATCGCATGGTTAAGTCGTTGATACTCACCACTGCTATAGTACTGCACATTTGGTGTCCACTCAGGCACCTTTTGCTTATAAACACGCCCAGGTAGGCCCAGCTCTCCAACATTTTCCCCATCAACTGAAAACACGTACATCATGGATACAGCTCTGTATTGAAGTAGGCCAATGCTCTGGTGGTCAAGCACAAAAGGTTGTCCTGAAGTAGTAAGCACATAGCGGTCTCCGTTCTTGACTGGTGCCCAGACTTGGACCAACAGGTGTTGATCTGTGGACTCCTTGAAGTACCAAAGAGGTTGTGTAAGCTTCTCTTTGACCAAGCTAGAGTTATCTGTGCCATCTTCGTCCAGAGATAGATGAAGCTGCCATTTGTGATTGATTTGTTCAACTCTCTTGCTTGAAGTGTCAGAATTCCTTGGATAATAGAAGCATAATGGTAAGGCGAGGAAGGATGATATAACACCCTAGCCCAATAAGAAAGGGATGCTGCTGTATTTAAATGAACCACGAGTTCTGCTTATGCTTGACAATATGATCCAGACCTAGCGCTCATGTGAATAGTTTAAGTCCCTGTTTCTACCTATGGACAAACCAAGTTTACCACAGTCATCGAAGCTGGAGAAAACATAATTGATTTATGCTTTCAATAAAGTTAAGTAACATCAATGCTTCGACACATAACAAAGAGAGAGTGTAGAGCCCATGCAGTAATGATGTCCTAGTTTATTTGGCACATAAGTAAAGTTGATCTCATTGTCGTAATTTAATTTAACTATAATAACCATAAGCAAAAGGGCGGGCCTGGTGCAAGCGGTAGAGTCTTACCGCTTGTGACCGGAAGGTCCCGGGTTCGAGTCGCAGTCTTCTCGCATTGCACAGGCGAGGGTAAGGCTTGCCACTAACACCCTTTCCCAAACCCCGCACAGAGCGGGAGCTCTCTGAACTGGGTACGCCCTTTTTATAATAACCATAAGCAATATAATGAGACAAGCAAGGCGTTATCCAACTGCTTCCACTTCCAATACATGCAATCTAGCATACGGCCCATGGCGTCATAACCCACCAATAAATCTAGTAAGTGGGTGTTTGGTTCCTCCTCCTAAATTTTAGTCGCTGTCCCATCGGATGTTTAGACACATGCATGGAGTATTAAATATAGACTAATTACGAAACTAATTGCACAGTTTGCGACTAATTTGCGAGACGAATCTTTTAAGCCTAATTAGTCCATGATTTGACAATGTGGTGCTACAGTAAACATGTGCTAATTACGGATTAATTAGGCTTAAAAAATTCGTCTCGTGAAGTACTGACGGATTATGTAATTTGTTTTTTATTAGTATCCGAACACCCCATGCGACACCCTCATTTGACACCTCCTAAATTTTAGTCACCGGATCCCAACACCCCTAAATACAGCACGAGCTAGCTTTAGAGACAGCACACGAGCACTAGGAGACAGAGCAAAGCAGTCCACACATTATATATACCATAGTAGAGTACCGAATGACTCAGGCAACAATAGCACAGCAAAAGAGGGCACTTTCTGTATGCACAGTAAATATAATCAAGTAGTACAGCCTCTCCCTTGTAGTGGAATCCAATTTGCCATCAACAAATCTTGGCAATGATTAGCGTTAAAAACGAAGCATGGCCCCACCGAGGGTCGGGAAGAAAGGGAGGTTTTTTGAGCCGCCGCGGCACTATCTAGACAAACGCAGTCGTATTGTTGCAAACTAAGAGACGCGGATAACTTTCCAGCATCCTATCCGTATTCTTGCGACGCAAAGATTCTGTTCCATCCAAAACTCGCAAGCCTAAGGCATACGAACAATGAAGGTGTCCGTAATAATAAATTTATTTTATATATATTGGTAAGATTTTTTAAAAAAAAAGAGGGGTGGCATGCCAAAGTCAAACGTCAAGCTGGGAAGCTGATGATAGACTGATAGATAAGGTTAGTGCTAGCGTATTGGTGACAAGAATAGGAGCAAGATTTCAACTTTCCGCGAATCTAATCAAACCAAAATCGCACAAAGAAGTGGAGCACAAAATCTCAGGGGGGATTGGAATCTCCCGGAGACTGAATTGGATCCCTTTGGCTGGCGGGTGAGTGTTTTTTTTTTCTCTCTCTCTCTGCAGCGAAATCGAAATTGTGCGTGCGATCCAGGAAGAAAGATGAGACGAGAGGATGTATGGCAAGGAAGCGCAGTTGGTGGATAATAAGATAGTAGGAGCAGAAAGGAAGGCTCACCGGAGCGTGGCCGCTGGACCTCCTCGACGACGGCGGCCACGACGGCTGCCTCCGGCGCGGCGGCGGGGGCGTCGAGCGGGAGCATGTGGCGGTCCTCGAAGAGCCAGAGCGGCGAGGGCGGGGTGAGCCAGGAGGAGGAGAAGAGCATGGACGTGGTGAGCGAGTCGAAGGGCCAGGCGTCGGCGCAGCCGCCGCCGTCGCCGTGGGCGGAGGCGGGGGAGGGGTCGAGGTCCATGGGACCTTGCTGCTGCTGGCTGGTGCTGGCGGTGCTAGTGTGATCGGACGACGGCGGCGGCGGAAGAGGAGCAGGAGGCGACGGCGAGACGGGAGGAGGACCGGGGGAGGGAGTGGAGGGGGAGGGTGGGTGAGACGCGGTGCCATGTGGGGGGAGGGTGGAGGGGGGATCGTGTGCCGCCGCGGTCCGTCGGGAAGGTAGTGGTGAACCGGAATAAGATAATGGCATGGCTGCCTCTGTCGACAACTGGGGTGGGCCCGGATCCCTCTCCCGCCGGGGGATTTCTGCTCGGGGGCTCCCGGAATCTACACAGGTGGGTGCTGTCATAAATAAATAAACTAGTATTAATTGGTGACTGGGCAGTCACTGGTGGGTCGGCTGTGGCAGAACCACCCAAATTATATGGCCCACATACATCTGTCATTGTCCTAAAGGTCTCTGACTACTGCACATGAGAGCCAGATAATCCAGATAGTTTGTCGAGTGTCCTCGAGGAACCCCGAATCATCCATATTTTACAACTCATACAGGATCAACATGGAGTTACCACAATATTACAACATTTGGTATAAAAACAACTTACATCGGAGTGCGGCAAATTTACAATATTAGGTTACAAAACATGTTCAAGTAAAAACTTAACTCAAGCTCCAAAAGATGAGTAAAACTGTGGAAGCAACTAAGGTGAAGCATCTAAAGTAGAAGAGATGTCCAGATCATATCGAGCCCACCGACATGACCTCAACTAGCAGCACGAGTCAGATTCTGCATTACAGGAGTTAATAAACCCTGAGTACTTAAGGGTACTCAACAAGTCTTACCCGACTAAAAGAAAAGACTCCAAGGGTATGCAAGCTTAAAGGAAAGTTGAAAGCAAGAATAACTTTTTGCAGAAAAGGTTACTATAAGTGGATCCTTACTTTCAATGTTTTAGCTTCGTATTAGGTCATTATAGGTATCCAGTTTGCACCTAATCTAAACCAATCACTTCATTAATCATCTCATCTCATCTTATCTCAGCTTGTATCCATCAGTAACCATGTTCCATTGATTAACTATGATGTATGGTTAGAGGGTCGAGTCTTCGTCTCCAAAAAGCAACGTCAATTCGAATCAATTGGCCCAGCTGGGGTTTCCTTACCACATGACATATACAGATCATAGACCTATATATATCAACCCTCACGTAGATCCTCCAAAACAAGAACGGGTTCGCGCCACCCGAGAATACAGTACTCCACCTCCCTACACCAACCAAGTGGTTTCACAGGATGGGTACACGCTACTCTCGCCATCTCTCCACTCCCAGTGCATGGTTGTCCTTTCTCATAATGGAATAGCCGAGGTATTAGGTTTACCGGAGTATGTGGCCAATACTAGCAAAGTCTCAACCACACACAGGCCTACAACGAACGGTCCTCAATCGACACAGGCAGAAGCACTACATGGAGACTCCATTCTCGATGCAAGCCACCCGCCCGGTCTCAATTTAACATTATCATAACCATGGTATTCACAATCCATAACCAGAGTTGAGAAGAGCAAGGTAAACCTGTTTCTCTCGAACGATGAAACCATCATTTGACTTCTAGCGAAGTCTAAGCATTACTAAGCATAAGAGGTGTCGACCTATTCATACTAGCAGGGTATTACTAAGGATACCTGAATATCAAGATAATCATGCAGCAACGGTATTCGACCAACTCCTAATTACTTAATGCACATCTCACAAGACTTAAAGTGTAATAAAGATTTATAAATACTAGAGAAGGGTTTATGCTTCGGGGCTTGCCTGTGTTGCAGAGAAGTTTAGTTTCATAGAAAGGTCCAAGAGTCAGACTTGGCACCAACACCTCTAGTGGATGGACCTTTCCTCGAAACTTGATCAACACGAGTCTTCTCACTCTCGTAAGCACTACACGTAATAAATGATGTTCGCTTAACATGATGGACTATATGCCATGATACATGATGAAAGACACACAAGTGTATAGCAGAGCTTAAACTATTCTAAGAAAGTTGAATACAACTTTCCTTCGCGGTCCAACTAAGGTTACACTTCACAAAACATTTTAATTACTTGATTACAAGTTGATTAAGTGTTCACCAAGAAAGTAACACCTATGACAATACACTAGTTAAGCAAAGCAAGACTAGAGCAAGGCCACATCATGACTTAATTACACTCATCCACTAACAAACTTGCATAAGCAACACATTTATTCATTATTAAACTATTAATAAAAGATCATATATATATATATATATGTGTGTGTGTGTGTGTTTATCCAAAGGCTCAAACTAGCATCAGCATACTTGAGCCACCACCTTATACTATTGCTTACAAATGATAACCATAGGACTTATACACATGCACTTAGCTTAACTAAACAATTGAGTCATTTTAATTATTAACAAGTTGATTATATAACTATAAAAGAAGAAACTAACATGCCAAGGAACATCAAGGGTTTGAGTGTTCCAAGGCCCACAATCAAAGTATGAAATACACCAAAGTCATTTAAGTATTTATCTAATTTATTTTAGCATTTATTAATTAAAAAAAAGGCATTTAATTGCACTTAAATTAATTAACCAATTTAGAATTACCAAAACAATACCAAACTTTTTGTGAAGGCAGGTATAAGCATGTATTACACAAAAAGTTTCATGATTAAAGGTTAATTATTTTAGTCTATAAAAATCATGCAAGCTCCATTTATTAATTAAAAGAGGTCATTTTTAAGCATAACAAAACTGTTGAAAATGAATCTTTCATATTTTCAAGCATATGATAACAAGTTTACCCAAAAAGTTTCATAATTTTATCATGCTCCAATAATTAGTTATGAATTAAACAAAATTCAACACATATTAATATTTTCTGAAAATCAAAAGCCATTGAAATTCTTTTGTTACTCAGCGCCTCCCTACCCGCAGTCACTAACAGAGGGACCCAGGGAACCCCCGCGCTTGACCGCGGCACAGACATCGTTGACCGGTGGGTGCTCGTCGTCGGTGAGGTCTCCAGCGACGGCGCGGACACCTACGTGCTAGGGACAACCTCACGGACGTACCTATGGTGATAGTTGAAGCTCTAGGGCACGACAATGACCACACCAGCAACCATGGCGGCCCGGTGGCGCTCTGGTGCGGTGGAGGTCCCCGACGGCGAGATCTCCGGGGACAACGAGATGACCTACAGACTCAAAGAAACCTCTCGAACACGTCTATGCTATTGGATGACCGGATTAGGGTTTCGCGCGTGCTCGGCCACGACCATGGTGGCACGGCGCACAGTGGCACGGTGGCAGCGCGGTGGCTACTGCCCCTAATTTAGGTACGAGAGGGATTAGCCAAACAAGTTTTCGGGTTTTCAAAATTTATAACGCACGTGAAATGATAAACAAATTCTATGTGGCTCACTTTCGTGGTTGGGAAAAATCAAAATAAATAGTGTTAACTACTGCTCTTGGGAGCTTAAAAAACAAATTTGACGTTAAGATAAGCTCTTTTCGTTAAGTTGGCAAACACTTGAACTATTATTTTAAATACCATTTTTGGCGAAATGTATTGAGCAAAATAGTTAAAATAGTGCTTAAATATTTTGCTCCTATGGGTTAGTATAAGATATGGACTATTGCATGAAATACTTGTTGGTAGCAGTTAATAGGGTTTAGGCCTTTTAAAAATTATAATAAAAGTGTTAATGGCTGTTAGTTCGAACTGAACCTTAACTTTTTAAGTATGGGAAAAGTAGTAAGACAATGCTATTTTAACATTTAATTTCTTACAAAAATGTTTAAACACTAGCTGCATGTTTTGGTATTTGAAAGTGCATCTAGCTCTTTAGTGGGTTTTGGATGATTGAATGGCAACGTGATTAAAGGTCTAACCCATTTGCTAAGTGTGGACAAGTAATAGGTTATCTCACATGTACTTAATCAAAGCCAAAATGATGTGTTGTTGTATAAATAATCTAGTTCAAGCACAAGACAACAATGCAAATGGAATTCATGCAAAGGCTTATTTATTGTGGGATTTCCATGTACTGTGTGAAAGCAAGCTCGTAAGAATTAATTAATGAGACATGAGGGATTGCATATGGAATGGTCTCATATTTGAAGCTTGCTAAATTAAAATGAAAAAGATAACAATACAAATGAATGGATGATTCAACACAAGATGTGAATTGATGGTTTAACATGGTGAAGATAGCAAGGAAAGGCTTCGAGGTACTAAGTAAGGGTGAAGGGCAAGCAATGGCTTGGCGGCTGAAGAACCTAGCTAGGGTGAAGAAGGAAGTACTTGCATTTAGTTAAGGTACTAATCAAGCTATGATAGTCATGTTAATGTGAAGGATCAAATCACTATTAGAGTGTTTGATGGAAGTGACTTGATACATTTAGGATTATTCAAATTTGATGAATGAAATCAAGTCACATGCTCAAGATGGCTAAGCTCAAGTGAAAAGATCAATATCAACATGTTGGCACCCTCACTTGATGAAGATTGAAATACACGGCTTCGATTGAAAGAGATCAACTCAAAAGGTTTAAATTTGTTATACTTTTAAATTTAAGTTAATAGGAATGCTGTACTATTAAGAGGGATACATCATGTTGGTAGATAATGTTTCATAAGTGCTCAAGCCAACCCATGCGAGTTTTAAGTTTTTGAGAGACAAAAGAGCTAACCTGTGTTTTGCTGGTCTGGCATATTGATACCGGACGTGTCCGGTATGTGCTCAAAAACGATAAAATTCTTGTTGTTCTCGGGCTGGTTCGTCGGGAGTTCTGACGTGAGTCGAAAGTTCCGACGGTCGGGAGTTTCGACGTATCATGCTTAACTGACTTAGATGGTTCACTGTCCTGGTCATATCGGACGTGTCCGGTATGGACGACCAGAGGCCAACGGCTAGTTTTCAAATGCCTTGAGGGTCGGGAGTTCTGACGTGAGTCGGGAGTTCCGACGGTCGAAAGTTCCGGTATGCATCGGGA